CCCTCACTGGGGGATTCTAGGCAGGGGCCACACTGTTGAGCATTCTATTTATTGAGACAGAATCGCCCCAAGTTTCCCAAGCTGGCCTTGAACTTTCAGTTCTCCTGCATCAGTCTTTCCACTGGCTGGGATCAGAGGATCAGGCCCAGCTCCAAAAATACATTTTAAGTCAGCTGAGCTCTCTTCCTATGAGCAAACCGATGCCACTGTTAGCCACTTCAAGCATGTCATGGTCATCTTAGTCTCCTCCTTCTAAACCTGTTCTCTTCTAGGATCCAAAGGGGCAGATGGCACCCCTCCTCCCTTGAATACTTCATTTTTTTTTTTTTTTTTTTTGAGACAGGTTTCTGTGTGTAGCCCTGGCTGTCCCAGCTCTGTAGACCAGGCTGGCCTCGAACCCACAGAGATCTGTCTGCCTCTGCTCCCAAGTGCTGGTATTAAAGGCGTGCTATGTCACCTCCCGGGGTCCTGGCATTTCTTAAACCATGCCCCAGCCTCCTCTCCTCTTGTTCTCCAGTTCCTATGTTTCCCCAGTCAGCTCCTGGCGGGAGGAAGGGTTTTTCCAGAAATGTAGATTTTTCTTGCGATTCTCCCACCAGACACAAAACCTTCATTATCTTCCCAGTGCTCCCCAGACAAAATGTCCTGCTGTCATTCACAGCCTGTTTTTCCTCCTGACTCTGCTCCAGCCCCAGACACTCTTTCCTTCCCTGGGCTGCAGACCTGAGGCTTCATCTGCTCTGTGCCATCTACTGGCAATGCACGTATATATTGCTCTGGTTCTCCCTTTATAGAGTCTGCCGTGGCTCCCCAGGGCCCTAGAGTCAGAACCACACCTTCAGCCAGAGGCAGCCACCTCCCCCTGCCCGCATCCCCGGTTTGTCTCCTCCCAGCAGTGCCCACCGAGGGAGGCCGGTCACGCCTAGGCCTTTGCGCTCCATTTCTTTCCCCTCCACGCCTACAGTGCCCTCCCTTGAGGGCCCTGGCTGGGATGGGGAGAGGGCCACCTCTCACCTGAGCACGTGACTGACCCACAGCACGTGATGCTCCCCGGCACTCTTCCCGTTCCCGGCCACAGTGGCCACAGAGGGCAGGCACACCCAGGCCCCCGC